AACTATTGTTATATGTATATATAAAAACATTATCCAAAAAGAGTTCATACATAAAATAATGTCAGGGTGTTTTATTTTGAAATCATCAAAATAACATTTTGAATTACTAAGTCTGCTCACTTGCTTGGACAATTGCAGCACCTGAAATCTTAAGAGTTTGAGAAGCCTTTTAATACAATTCTTTAGTTGGAAGCCAGAGAATAAACCAGAGCAGATCAAGAGTACAAATATGACATTTATTGTTCAGAGATAGAGTGAATCAGCGTCACGGTGATTCTCACGAACATGGTCCAACTTGTAGCAAAATTTAAAAAACATTATATACACAAAAAAACACTCACTCTTTATAAAACAGATCCTAATTTCACTTTTCACTGTAAAATTATAATCTATATGCACATTTTCTAGGTAATTTTAAACATTTTATTCTAACTTTGACCAAATAAATTCATTACCGTAACACAATTTTCATGAAGAAATTTGAAACCACAAATCCCTTTTTTTCACATTTTTTGGACACCAAGGACTAGAGTGTGCACAGAGAGAGAGAAATAAGCAAAAATAGGCATTTTCTTTACAAAATGTTATATTTTAATGCAAAAAATCATTTCATCACCGTAACAGTGATACAAATTTCAAAGTCAATTTTGATTGTGATTTTTTATCAAATCACTACATTGAATCAGAATCAGAATCAGAAATACTTTAATAATCCCAGAGGGAATTTATATACAAACACTATAACCATAACATAAAAGGGTCTGGCACATTTCATCAAGGGATGAATATAAAAGTAATTCACATAACTAATCTAAATAAATCCTCATACAGTTAACATAGCGGTAATGAAAAAACACATGTCGGTAATGAATAACAATGTTTCGGTAGTGAACCCTTCATAACTACATTAATATTTAACTACCCAAACAATAAAATACCCTAGTAAAACATACATTTTTAAAATGTTAAGTTTATTAAGTTGACACACAAACTGAACAGAAAAATAGTCCCATATTTTTCCCAGCCATTTCAGGCAATGAAACAGTTTACCCTGTTTTCAGCCGAGGAAAAGCAGCTGATGTCTTCATCAAATGGCCCAGTAATCTGAGCAACAAAATTGTGTGGGGAAAGGTAAGACTCAATTGATATCAAATCAAATTCAGAAAATGACCCTGAACTACTGATAAAGGGAGACATAAAAAGATATGGTGATGGATTTTTTTTGTTCCTAGATGATTTGTGACCTTTTTTGTGACTCTTTTTTCCTTCTAGGTCTGGCCTGATTTACCAGGCGTCATAGTTAATGAAAGTCTTGACTGCCACTTAGACACTTAGATTTAATATACATACATAAAAAAACAAAATGTTCATTAATTTTAATAATTCATTGGACTTTCTTTTTGTACTGGCCCAGATTTCTGACACCACACAGAAGTGTCTTGCGGATAAAGAGGTAGGCAGTGGTTCAGGAATAATTTCTTTGATGTCATCCAAATAATACCATACCTTCTCACCAGCAAACCTTATTGATGGTATGTAGCAGCGATTGTCTCCCGCACAGCTCATTGTATCAACCTCATACTGACCACTGGCAATCTGGATTAATGAAGCAAAAAAATGTTATCAACTGCGTTTTTCAAAGACAATTTGATTATTACATAATCATTACCCTGATATTACATGTTGACAATCTGAATCCAATACTTGCACACCTGACTTCCCATTCTCCACTCAGTCTTAAACCTACCTGTGTTACTGTGCCAGGATAGAGGTCTCCGTCATAGTCCACAAGGACCCATGCTCTTACTTTGATGGTCTCTTCAGATTCCCTTTGCGTGAAAACAGACTCCTTTGGAGAGAAGCAGTCACAAGAGTGACTACAGAAGCACGAAACTTCTCGAAATCTAATATTTCCTGGTTCAGTAGCAACAACCTGTGGAGACATTATGTTTAGTTTTATCTGCAAAACCATGAAAAGGTCAGATCTATAAAAATAAATTATTTTTTTTAAATGCAAACTTACAACAAAAAATAGAGAAAAAATTGAAACCAAGCTAAAAAAAAAAAAAAGCCAAGCAAAATAAAAATGAGTGCGCATTTGTTTAGTTGCACATATGGGTGCTCACCTGGTGTATTTTCATAGTTCCTGGGACTGATTTCAGGAATGGAGGAATGAGTTCACCACATGCAGCAATATTATCCTCTGTTACTTCAAAAAGCCTAACAGATGAGTGCTTTGCCAGATTCTCTAGTAGAGCAGAAGCATTTGGGATGTCTGTGCCATAGGCCACCACACGATCTGCAAGGTTTTTAAGAGCACCTCCTACTCCATCAGGAGCTCCCTTCCCATGAGAGGCCTCAGTGAAGTTCCACGTCACAGTCTTAAACCCTTTCATAAAAGGCACTGTGGACGCAAGGTAGAATGCTACCTTATTCCGATATTGAGATGTTGGTCCATCGGACAGGAAGTGGATATTTTTTGCCAGGGGGTAGTTATATGTTATGTATCCTAAAACTGGTTGCAAATGTGCCCATGTAGCAACAGCATCGTGCTGTAAACTGGCAGACACAGTAGCAAAGGACT